TGCATCTCCGTATCTCCCTGTACCTTCCCTCAGATCAGCAAGTACATTGCAAAATGCCAGCAGCTTCTGCAGAGCGCCCTGGGAACAGGGTTTGTGCAGCGCTGAGTGTTCTGTAAGAACTGGCGAGAGAGCTGCTAAAGCTGAGGGATGTTCAGTTCATTATGTTCTGTTCAGTTAAGCCATCACGGTATTTCTTCTTTAGACCTTTATGCTTTTCTGCCAAACATAAAAATATTTCAACCATTTGCATCCATATTGGTGAATTGCAGAGAGTAACACAACGAATCTTTAGGCAGAAAACTGTTGTTTTTCCTCTGTGTGATTTTCAAAGATCTGTTGTCCTTCTGCACAGAATTTTATCATGTGTTGGTGCCAATTTGTTTTCCAGGGGAGCACATCTCCAACTTTATAATGAAAGGCAAGCAAAGTGGGACTTCACGGCCTTGGCTGGACACCAAGTGTTTGCTAATTTTTGCAGCAAGGAAGACAAAATATCAAGTCCCTGAATTGTAATTTGGGTTTCTCCTGTTCCCAAACAAAACGGTTTAAATAACGAACGCCTGCCTTAATCATACTTATTAGTTAATGAAAGTATGTCTGTATTTCAAAAGTATATTTTTGTTTTTTAGATCTTAAATGCCATCCTGGGATCGGCAAATCCTTGGGGGCCGTTACCTTTGATTAAGGCAGAGGACTCTGGTTAAATGAATTAACAGTTCGTTTAACTTAATGGGCTGGAAGAGCAAACAGATACCCAGTTTACTAATTTTTACTCTTTACGGTTGACATCAGCTGTCATTTAGCCTTTAGCCAGTACACAAAAATGACAGTATGTCCATTTTATAGAATGAAGGAGTAAGATTTATGCTTGAAACTATATATTTTATACTTACTTGATTACTTACAGACTCTGAAATAAGGAATGTCATTGTAACACAAACGCTGTGAATCATTTTGGAATCTTATTTGCTTCTAAGAACAAATGAAGATATTAATTTACTTAATTTCTTATGTCAGGGTAGAAACTTTATATAGCCCTAGAGAACCCCTCCGTGCCCCCATCCCCTTGCCTCTCATGGTTGTTCTTGGTTGCTCAGGCCCCTCTGCATACTGTGGAGACTCTACCTTGCACACACACGTGCACACACATGTGCACACACATGCACACAAACTCCTATTTCTACACACAGCCTTTCCTGTTGTTCTCTCCTTTAACTAAGTTCCTCTCTGAAGTGTTCTATTCTTTGTGCATTCTGACCTCTGCTTCAGCCTTCAAGAGTACTAATGGCCTAATTTATTTCGCATCTTCCAAGTCCCATACCATATTTGTTCAAATCTAAGATGTCATCAACTGCAAGATGCTCCATTAGTTTGTGTGCCGTTAAGAAAAAACAGTCATACTTGCAAGACTCTAGAGATCTGAAGTTATGTCCTGATTTTAAAGATGTTTAAATATGGCACTATCTGAGCCTTAGACTCAATGATATATGGTAATTGAATTTTGTTTTTGGCCCCTTTGGGTCTTTGTTGCTGCGCGTGGGCTTTCTCTAGCTGTGGTGAGCAGGGGCTACTCTTTGTTGTGGTGCAGGGGCTTCTCATTGCGGTGGCTTCCCTTGTTGCAGAGCACAGGCTCTAGGGGCACAGGCTTCAGTAGTTGTGGCTCACGGGCTCAGTAGTTGTGGTGCACAGGCTTAGCTACTCCGCGGCATCTGGGATCTTCCCGGACGAGGGATCGAACCTGTGTCCCCTGCATTGGCAGGTGGATTCTAAACCACTGAGCTACCAGGGAAGCCCCGGGAAATTGAATTTTGAAGGGAGCCTTCCTGAGGCAATGCCTTGGTGACTCCCATGGTGGAGTGTCAGGCTCCTTGGCAGGTGCGGGGAGAAAGGTTGGAGTCAGTTGGTACTTTTGTTGCCCACATGAATCACACCATGTAGTAAGCTGCCTGTCCCATGTACAGAGTGGCCATGAGTGAGAAGACCCGGTACATAACAACAAAAGAAAACATGAACCAAACTATGAAAATAAAGAGGTAGATCTGCCTGTAGGAAATTCACAGATGTTCTGATACATAAATCTCATTGATTGGAGGCAGCAGGGAAAGTCTGTCCATATGGAATATCCTTAGAAGGGCTCACAGCAAATTTCTCTGCTTAGGCTTCAGACCTGAGTTCTTGTTTTTGCTTTGCTGCTCTCAGGGGCCCAGTGACCTAGGTCTGTGGCTTCCAAACTCCATCCTCATTTCTGGAGCCCCTCAGGTGAGGGGAAAGAAAAGGAACCTTGGACTTCAATCAGAAGAGCTCCACTTTTACTTAACTTGGATATTAAATGTCATTATTTCCTACTTGAGAAAAGAAGAGTTCCTCTGATAAAAGCAAGCTTGAAAATGATTTAGAGAGATGAACCCTACACTGTCTTCTACTGCTAAAGTTCTCAGATTTAGTATTTCACTCCAAGAAGTAGGTTATAGAGAAATACTAAAATCTGTCTCCTTGGATAATAGTACCAAGACAAGAACGCTGTCTTAATCAGTTTGGGCTGCTATAACAAAGTACCATAAACTGGGTGGCTTTATTTCTTACAGTTTTGGAGGCTGGAACTTCGAGGTCAGGGTACCAGCATGGTCAGGTTCTGGTGAGACTTGCTGACTGCCATCTTCTCACGCATTCACATGGCAGGAAGAGGACGAGGGATCTCTCTGGGGTCTCTTTTATAAGAACACTAATCCCATTCATGAGGGCGCTACCTTTGTGGTCTAATAACCTCCCAAAGGCCCCACCTCCAAATACCATCACATTGGAGCTTAGGATTTCAATATATGAATGGGGGGTGGGAGGGACACAAACATTCAGTCTATAAGAAGGACCAAGGGTAATTCCTGTGAGAATTGTACCAGCTGCTTTCTTCTCATTGTTCCTGCTG